TAATGAAAATAGAAGGGGGAGGAGAAGAGAAGCATTTGTTGGAGGGAGAAAACAGTTTATTGTTTGGGCTATGTTGAGTTTAAGGTGACAACATATTGAGGGGTGCTGTTGGGACACTGAGGCGGTGCTGATTGACAAGGTGTCCTATTGAGGTGGGAAAAAAAAAGCTGTGGAATTCAAGCTGAGAACTTGAAAGAGAGATTCAAGGTAATACCAGAGATTTTGAAAGCTGTGTAGACACACCACCACAAAGAGTGGGTAGAGAGGTAATAAGGCAGAGGAGAGGATGGAGGAAGGAAGTGAGAGGACAGACTCTAGGAAATACCTCTGTACCAGGAGGAAGAGGAAAATAAGGGAATGAAGAGGAGGAGGAACAGAAATTTGTAAATCCCCATTTTTGCTTCATAGTTTGGAAATCAGCCCACAGGGTTAGAATGCGGGACTTTTTTGAATACAGTCCCAGTTTTGAACCCCTGAAGGGAGAGTGTTCTCATTCCGTGTTCCAGCACCTTCTAAACTGCTAGTCTAGGGGCTGCAATGACCCTAGAAACCAGAGGCTGCAATGACCTCTTGAACCTTACAACCTCTGGGAACGAGGCTGCGTTCCATGTAGAGAAGCAGACGAAAGCCAGAAGGGGTCTGCGTTACATGGCCATCAGATACTCATCTCAAAAATAATGCCACTTAAAGGAAGAAATCCAGTGACACTTTGGTGAGGAGGAATCACTCTTGTTCATTCCTTTAACAAATACTTACTAAGTACTTACTATGTGCTCGGCACTGAGCTAGGCACTGGAGAGATGGCAGTGAAGGAAACACCAAAAAGCCCCAGCCTTGGTGGAGTGGACATTCCTGAGGGAGCAGATTAAATAAACAAAGTAAGTAATATGTTAGATGCTAGTAAGTGCCATGGAGAAGTAGTAGGCTGGGAAGGGCTAGGAAATACTGAGGACATAATGGTTGTAGCTTTAAACTGTTGAGGGGTCAAGAAGAATCAGTAAGGGGGAAACCTTTGAATGAAGAGCTGAAGGGAGGGAGGGTCCCATAAGCTATTTGGGGACCAGGCAGAGAAGGAAGGTCTGAGACCCAACAAGCAAGGAGGTTCTGGAAGGGGCAGAGCGGTAGTGAGGAGTCTCCTAGGTCCAGATGAAGGGCCCCCTGATCACAGAGTGGGATGGGCCTGAGTGGGATGAGAAGCCATGGGAGGGCTTGGGAGAAGAATAATGGGGACCGAGCAAGTACTCCCTCATTGCTGGGCCTGGTGAAGTCTCCCCTGCACCCGCTCACACCAACTGTAATGTTTGAGACCTAATAGGCACTGGCCACAAAAATGAGCTGGAAACACTGGTAGGTGGATTCCGTCTCCCGTCCACATATGTCCACAGGACAGTGATTCATCCTATGTTCAGATTATTTGAACCCCTTGAGTTCATTCCTTCTGACAGATACATGTGTGCATGCACGTGTGTGTGTGTGTGGTTCACACTTCCATTCATCTTTGTTTGTATGGAACTGACTAAACTGTTTGTTTTAGAGAAATGGCTTTTCATAAAAATGTTCCTTGGGACTGTTTCCTCAATCCAAAAATTGGGGTAAGAATAGTTACATAGGCAGAGGACCTGTCACTGTGCCTAACACGAGTAGTGCTCAGAGCACCTTGTCTTCTTTCTCTCTCTGTCCTCTACTGAAACTCGTGCAATTTAAATCACCACTCATTCTTTTTCAACTTGAACATGACTTTGAATTTTCAGATCATATGCCAAAGAATATATTGGGTTTGGATGACGTCAGTTGACCTAACTAATATCATTTTAACTGTTACATGAATTTATTAATGTACATAAGATAATATGTTCTCTCCACTATTTAAGTAGAGGTGAAAGATTTTACATATTGTACTAAAAAGAAAGCATTTACTTGGACAGTAAAACTGAGCAAAATCAGAGCACATAAATATTCCATTCTTGCTAATTATTTATCTATATACATTTAGGGAGGACTCTGATACACTATACATTTTTCTGCACTTAATTCTTCCTGTTAATACCAGAATAGTCCAGCCAAAAAGAGGCATATTGAGATTTTTCACAGACGCTCTAAGCTTTAAAAAATGTTAATGGCATAAAACTCACATGTAAATACTGAGTCACTAAAAGCAGTAGCAATTAAGTGTGTAATGTCAACAGCAACTCGTTATCTAATGAGCTGTTTTCAGAAGTTAATAGGGTGATTAATCACTGATTGATAAAAACTGTGGAAAGAGATGTTCTTTTGTACTAATAGGACTCCAAGCCCAAGGGCAGCCAGATGACAGGCAGATCTTGGCTCACTGGGATCGGTTGAAGTTGGAGCGTGGTTGAAGTTAGACAGGAAGCTGGTTGAAGCCTCAGACAAACCTTCATGAGGTGCTGCTTACAAGTGGGGTCTTTGTATTCCAGGATTTAAGCCCTCAGTTTAGGATCCTAGTAGCCTTCAGAGTCCAGCAGGATCAGAAGGACTAACTAATACTAATCATACTTATAAAAGATTGATATATAAACTAGATTGAGCATATAATAGTTCAAAATATGGACTAGAACTAGTACAGAAATTAGACTTCCCTTTCTAACTTATTGGTACTGTGTCCTATTAGAAATCCTGTATGGGGAACCAAATTACAACAGGGATAATAGTAGGCAATCCATCAACTTTTTACTGAGCACTTACTACGTGGAGGGCCCCATTACAGACTCTGGGGATGCAGCACTGAACAAGAAACAAATAAGTTCTTCCTTCCTGGAGTGCATGTACTAATGGAAGGACAGGTAGAGACAGAGGGTAAGCAAATATACAGGTATCGCATCAGGTGATGATAAGTGCTTCAGAGCCTTGCTTCTCCAAGTGTGCCTGGAGACCCACCACATGGACATCCCTGGGGCTTATTAGCAGGGCAGAATCTTGGGGTCCTCACCCAAATGCCCAGAATCAACCCACATTTGAACACAAACCCCAGGTGCATGGTGTGTCCCTTAGCACTGAGAGGTGCTGCTTTAGTGAGCTAGTAAGTAGAATGAGGAGTTTGGATCGAGAACAGGGCAGGGATTATTATTTCATATGCAGGGTACAGAAAGCCTCACAGATAGGATAGCACCTGTGTAGGGTCCTGTAGGCCAGGAAGGAGGGAGCCATGGAGATGTACAGGTGAAGAGCATTTTGGGTGGAGGATCAGCCAGTGCAAGGGCCTGAGACTGGAGCATGTCTGACACTTTGAGAAATAGTAGTAGGCAGTAGGACCAGAATAGAGTGAGCTCCAGACAGAGCAGTAGGAAATGGGGCCAAAGAAGTAACCAAGGAGGCCAGGGTATGGTCACCGAGGGTCTTGTGTAAATTGCAAGCACTCTGACTCTTACTGTGAGTGGGTGGGAGCCTCACGGGTTTTGAGCAGAGGAGCATGTGATCTGAGTGTTGAACACTCAGGGCGACTGTTGTAAATAGACTATAGTGGACAAGAAGAAAGCAGGAGAACCAGCATAGTAACTTGGGTGAGAGCTGTTGGTAGCTTGGACTACAGTTGGGACAAAAGAAGGGAATGGAAGATCCGGATCTGTTTTGCAGGTGACAATGCTGACAGGGTTTGCATGTGGATGAGCAGGATGCTGGGTGAGAGTAGTGGAGGAAGGTCAGCATCAGTGACAAAGTGACTTCCATTTATTGGAGGGAAAATGTTTCAGGAAGGACAGGTTTTGGGGGAAATCAAGAACTGATCTCTGGACATAATAAGTTTGTCATATCTGACAAATGTCCAATTGGAGATCTGCATAGAATCAGGAGTTCAGGGTAGAACTCCCAGCTGGAGAGCTACCAGTGAGCGTCTTTAGAGCTGTGATAAAACCATGAGTTGTGAGGTCAACTGGGGAGTGGGAATGAAGAGGAGTTGATGGCACTGTTGATCAACACCACCATGCTATAGCAGCCAGGTGCAGCCCTCCTGCCTTTAAGGACAGACCTGCCGCCTGGCCCTCCTCCATCACATCTGCAGTTACAAGTTCCCCAACATGGGCAAGTCCTTGTTCTGCACTGCCCTTCCATTCCTTCTCTGACTTCCTGCACACCCCACTCTCTTCCTCCCACAGATGCCTGCTTTAGTTACTGCTTCCTTTACTCCAGTTCTGAAAACATAGTGGCCCTCTTGATCCAGCTGAAGTGCTTTCCAGGAATACCTGTCACTTATCCCAGGGGAAACTCATTCATCTCAAGTCAAGGGCTTTTCCTTTTCCTAACCCAACTTACCAGTTAACATTCATGTACCCATCACCTAGAATCCATGATTAGCATTTTACTGTATTTTAATCATAGACTGATTTATCTGTCTACTTCATCCCACTTATTTTCTGGATGCATTGCAAACATTAGTAGTGTGCAACCCTAAACACTTTATATCCTGTCACTGACTAGAGCTCAGTATTTGTTTGTGGTGTTTTGAGGTATAATGCACGTGCAGTGAAATGTACAGTCTTAAGTGTATCATCCAATGGGTTTTGACAAGTGTACACACCTGTGTGACCCAAATCTCTATCATGTGTTTATTGCTCAATCACAGGGTGATTTCTGTGATACACAGTCATCTCTCAGGGACTGTTGTCTCCTGACTGCAGCACACATTTCTAAGCTCTGGATTCCTCCTCTCTTCTTCCCCCTTAACCTTGGACATCATTGGTGAAGAAAACTGATACTGATCCTTCTTCCTGCTCCTCTTAATATCAGTGGAGGTAGCATTTATTGGACACCTGCCGGGAACCACACTAAAACACCACAAAGTGGTATTCCGTTTTTAGAGATGAGTAAGCTGAGACTCAGAGAACTTGAGTTACTTGCCCAAGGTAGGCAGATGTTTTCTGACCTTGGAGCCTCCAAACCCTACCTCTTCGCATTTCCTGACTTGGTCAGGGAGTTTATGTCCGGGTCACTTCGGTCTTCTCAGTGCCTCTGTTCACATGCCTCCCACTGGCTCTTTCCCACAGCCGTGGTGAAGAACCCACCTAACAATCTGTGGATCATCGCTGCAGTGTTGGCGCCCATCGCTGTGGTCACGGTCATCATCATTATCATCACTGCCGTGCTCTGCAGGAAGAACAAGAACGACTTCAAGCCAGACACCATGATAAACCTGCCTCAGAGAGCAAAGGTACGTGGGAGTGGTGGGGAAGGGCAGGAGTCAGCCCACAGAGGTGCTGCCTGACTTTCCCTCTGCGCTTTCAAGGCTGTGACAAGCACCTTCACAAACATTGTCACACGTCCTCATTTCAAAGGAGACCCTTTCTTTCAAAACCAGGACATGAAAACTCATGCTTATTGGATGCTCACTTTTCCCACAAATGCTGCCAAATGGTTTATATGTAGCACTGCTCACCACATCCCTTTGAGGAAGCACCATTATTTTACAGATGGGGAAACTGAGGCACAGAAAACTAGGAGCTAGAGAGACCTGAAAGGACCTTAGACATCATTTAATTAGGCGCCCTCCTTCTGCATGTGAAAAATAATTCCTTCAATTCATCATGCTCACATGAATAGTAGCAGAACTGACAGTAGAACCAGGTCTGTTATGGTCTGATGTTGAAATCCTAACCCCTAATGTGATGGTACTAAGACGTAGGTCTTTGAGAAGTGACTTGGCCATGAGGGTGGAGCTCCCAGGAATGAGATTAGTGACTTTAAGAAAGAATCCCTAAAGCTCTCCCTTGCCTCCTCTACCATGCAGAACACAGGAAGTGGTCACTCTGAAGCATGGCTGTGGGCCCTCACCAGAGCCCGATGATGCTAGCACCTCAATCTTGGACTTCCACCTTCCAAAATTATGAGAAATAAGTGTCTATTATTTAAGCCTCCTGGTCTATGGCATTTTGTTGTAACAGCCCAAACTGAGTAAGACATGGTTTCTTGGCTTCTAACACAGCCTCCGTGGGGCATATCGATTCCCAGAGTTTCCCTGGTCACTGACAGGAGTGACTCAGTTTCAGCCAGTACCATGATGGACAAGCTATAGGGCTGGGCTGAGCAGCCATCAAACACCAGTTCATTGGCTCCTGAAGCCTGTTCTGATACCCCATTCTCCTTCTGTCACCTGCACATCTCTGCTTTGTCCACCTCTGGTAACCAGGAGTGGACAGAGAGAACTCTGAAGGCTAATTTTCCTGTCACGTAACTGCCTTTGTGATATTTCCCAAGGGAAATATCCTAACTGTAATACCCAGTGTTTAAATAATGTCTTACACTCTGCTGGCTCTTCTAGGTCTGCCACCTCGTTTGTACATCACAGCAGCCCTGTGAGGTAGGTCACAGTCAGGGCAGGTTTTATTATCCTCATTTAACTGCCAAGGAACTCAAGGGGAAAGAGGGATATCAGGTTTTGTCCAAAGTAGTACAACTAACAGCAGAGGGGTAACTGAGGACCACAACTGAGTCTTTGTCTTTTTCTACATTATCTACCCACTGGAACCCTGAGATTTGGCAGGAGGATTCTCTCCCAGTTTGGAGCCTCTGAGCTCTGCCTACCTCTGTAGACATGAAACACATTTCATATCCACTAGAATGCGTGTCGGTCATGGAGATTGTCCTTGGGGGCAGAGATGGGGGGTGGGGGGTCACAGACCTCCATTCTTTCTGAATAATCATACCTCACTTGAACAAAAGAAGTCAAGGGATTTTTATTGTTTACTAAGTGATACACCTGTCTTGAAGCTGTAGCTTGATTGGATTCTTTGTGTCCTGAAGAGCCAAACCCAAAGAATGTTGCTTTGCTTCTCTTGATAAGAAGGCACCTGCATCCCAGACACTGCAGGATGTTGGTAAGAAGAGTTCGTTGGGAATTGCCAAAGAGTGAAAACCAGGACTGTTCCAGGACACAACATTTGATTTCCATTTTAGCTTGGTTACAACATCAGCCTTTCAGACGTAACCGGTAATTACCAGAATTGCAGCCGAGCCCAGGAATGTAAAGCATGCCATACTGAGGTCAGAAGTGGCATCTTTATGTTACAGATTAAACCAGATCTTACTCATCTGCCAACATGAGCAGCGTACCTTCTGGCTTGAAGGCTCTCTGCAGCCAGAACAGATGTGTGCTTGTGGTTTTCCACAGCAACTTTGGCATGCCTGCCCCATGCACTGTGCTTCCTTAGATACCTGGCTGAGGTTGAAATCCAAGCCAATTGATGTCCCATTAGCCGATGGCATTCACTTGTGTGTGGCACTGCTGGGTGTCTCCCTCTCCACAGGCTGCAAGAGGCACTTTGATTTTTACAACCCTTTTGTTGCGAGAAGCCAGCAGAGTAGAACTGCTTCTGTCTTGCTGCAGTCCTGCTGGTGCAAGCCAGGGACACTGCAGTGTCTGAGAGAGGAGTGAGCTGGCTGCATCACTTCTCACAACTGCGCATGTGTGAGCAGAATTCAATGAATGCCAAGGGAGCAAGGCAGAATGAAGAGGTTAGCCTTACCACCAATCCATAGCCTAGGCGATGGCCCAGGGACATCACTGCATTTTTAGAACACAGGCTACAGAGCCAGAAGAAGTCCTGGGAACCCATCCCGAGCCTCAGTCATAATCTTAACATGGTAAGCAGAGGAGATGAGGGTGGTGGTTGTGGGAGCTGAGGCCAGGATGAGGACCCTGGCCCTTTCTTCAGGGACAAGGGACAGAGTATCCTGCTGCCATTATTGTCAGCAGGGCTTCTGCAGGTGGAATGCTGAGAAAATGATAAATGCAAGTGGGCCAGGTGTAATGGCTTTGGTTACCTCCTGGCTTCCTACTTCACTTCTCTTTACTCTTTGCCATTGGATTTAGTCTTTTCCCAAGTTTTTCCCTTCATATAAGGAGAACATGACTGGAAGAGGCATCCTTAGCAGAAGGAAATTATAGCCATACCCACATGCAGGATGGACCTTGGAGGGCCTACAATGGGTGGCATGAACTTGTGCATGGGATAGGTCAATCATCCCCTGAGAACAGCAGCTCTTTCTTCTTTCTCACATAAGAGCTATATGACCTCAGGAAAGTGACATAACTTCTTTGTGCCTCAATTTTCCCATTTGTAAAATGGGGGGAGTGTTAACAATGTCCATTGAGAGGCTGTTGTAAAGATTAGGTGAGTTAATATATATAAATTGCTTTGAGCTGTGTCTGATACATAATAAATATCACATACAAATTGGCTTTTATTGTTAACATATGGTTTTTCTTTAAAGGTCTACCTTTGAGATTATTGGAAATTATTCCTTTGATATGATAGCTTTATAAAACTCACTAACTATATTTAAACACTTCACAGGGTTGTATTACTGAGGTTGTTATTACTGTTGTCTCTCTAGTGTGCACCCAACATATAATTAATTAATCTTGAGTAGTTTTCAAGTTGAAGGTTGGAAGACCCTTAACCTGGGAGTCAGAAAAGTGAGGAACTAATTTTCAGTTTTTCATCACTTAGCTGTGTGATCTTGGACAAATCACTGAACCTCTCTGAACTTTTGTATTCTTTTCTATAAAACTTGATGTTTTCCTTGCTTACTTCAAGGGTTTATTGTGAGGACAAAATGAGGTGTCAGTGTTTTGTGTGCTGTGAGGAGTGCCCAACATGTATAGGGATTATTATGAATAACTTAATACCAATGGCCACCTTTTAAGCTGTTGTTCTTAATGTCTCTTTTTCCACACACTCATAATTGACCCAGTCATCTGAGGAGTCCAACAGATAACTTCAAGTAAGTGTGAAGAAAGATGAAGGTATAGTCTAGAGAGAATGGGGAAAGAGGGGAGATAGGGCCAGAGCCAGCTTGTCTTATCTTGGGTTCTTGGGAGGTCCTAGCTGTCAGAGACTTCTAATCCACTCACCCCCTCCAGGCCAGGCAAGAGTCTCAGCACCTGACCCAGGCCAAAAACAGAATCAGAGACCCGGGCAAGATGGTGACTGCCGAGAGGAAGCAGGATCTGTGAAATGAGTCATCCAGCAGTGGTTAAGTAGACATCCTGACACTGGGTCACACAGTACTAGGTTCAAATGCTGACTCCATCATACAGCAGCTATGTGATCCCAGGAAAGTGGCCTAACCCCTCTAAATCTGTTTGTTTCTCTGTAAAATGGGGACTCAAAATAGTACCATAGTTGGAACTATAGTGAGGATACAAAACTTAGTCTATGCCAGGCATTCACTACTGTACAGTCACATTGAGTGAGATGGAACTACGAGCTCCTTGAAAGTGAGGACCACTTATCATTCACCATTATGTCTCCAGCACCCAGCACAGCTCCTGGCATAAGCCAGTGTTGTTGGAACAAATCTGAACAAGACAATAGGGGCGGAGGGGTTGGCAGGAAAGGAGCCAACACGAGATAGAGCTGGGCCTGTGGGTTCAGTCAAAATGTGAAAAGTTTTGAGTACCTTGTCAAAGAGCGTAGGTGTCAAGAAACATTTTTAATGAGGGAATGACATTACCAAATGTGATTTTAAGGGAGATAAACTTGGAAGCTCATCCAGGGTGGGCCTGGAAAGGAACAAAATGGAAGCACCAAACCAAGGCAGGAAACAGTGAAACAGTGACCTGGGGAGGAAAAAAAGCAGTTTCCAGGAACATTCCAGAAGTTGAACCCAATTGGTCACCAATCGTTTGTGGGAAGAGCCAGCAATTTGTAACCTAAGGACATTATCCAGGACTCTGAAGGCTCCATCTGTACTTGCAGCACTAAGGGAGGGGAGAGGAGAGCAGAAAGACTGTCTTCCAGCAGCAAGCAGTATTCCAAAGCTGCATGCCAGGCTGGCATCAGAACATCCCCAGTGATTACATGTGGGTCAGAATGTATCCAGGAGAAGGGGAAGTGGTCATAGTTCCCAGAGTGTTTCCCAGGGAATTGGGAGAGCTGTCTGAGACAAAGCTTCAGGCATTTCAAGTAAAGAAGCTTGCTGGATTTGCAATAAAACTCCATCCTGTCCTGGGACACAGCAAGGGGTGGCAGGCTGGGTCACAGCTCTAGACTGTGGGTTGTTAAACCTAGCTAGAGACTTCCTGTGGCACTGCTTAGCCAACTTAGCCTCAAGGAGCTGCCAATCAAAGCAAGCTCTGATAGATTCTGAATGGTAGCAGTTATGTTTTGTCTCCACATTGCTGAGAGAGAATCACTAATGTCTGTTGCGTCTGGACAGTGATTTAGCAGGAAGGCAAACAGTGATAACTAACACTGCATGAGCCCTAAGTCTGTGCCAGGCACCTAGCTGAATGCCGAACTTGAATTTCTTACATACTCCTTATGTTATTGCCTCTAGGGTCATTAATGTCCCTCGCACATACATGCACTTTTTACCCTATCCACTCCATTATTGTCTCCATTTTAGGAATGAAGAAGCTTAATGAAGAGAATGTTAGTCACTTACCTGAGGTCACACAGGTAATAAATGGTAGTGTCAGATTTGAACTAGGCAATCTGTTTGCAGACCTGTCACTCTTAACCACCACACTGTCCTGCCCTAGATCTGCAAGTACTGTTTTGGGGTGTAAAGCAGAGACACTCCCAGGAATTGTTTAAACATGCTGCTTGGTTTTTACTACCCTGCTAATAGATGTCTGTTGGATTTTGCTCACAGATGCCTTCACTTGGGATTTCAGACACTGTGCAATAAAAGCCTTTCTCATTTCCCAGGAATGAGTTATAGGAGAGCCAGCCTGCTTAAGGGAGAAGTCTGGATTAAAGAGCAATTCCCTAAATTCCATGTCATTATTAATGATTTGTGCAGACTCAATGCAGTAGCATTTTTCTCTGTTTGTAAACTGTGATCTGCTTTGCTTCTTATGGGTGATGGAGACAGAGAGATAATCTTTATTTCTCAGATGAGAAAGTTGAGGGTCAGAGTCCAAAGGACTTGGTAAAGACACATTAGAACTATATGAGATGGAGTTCAGGGGAAACCAAGTATTTCCAGGCAGGAGATACAATGAGACCTGTATCTTAAATAGCATCCCCACTAGGAGTTCTTTCCAGTTAGCATCCACGGCCTTTGAGAGAAGTTGTTCTCACGCACCTGTTTGCATCTTGTTTGTGCTCTTCATTTTTCTGCCCAAGTCTTATCTGCAGCGATTCTTACCTGGTTGGAATTAACATGGGTTCTGATTTTGTATGACAGAGACCACAATGGAGATCTGAGTTAACTCTTACCCATCAGAAAGCTAAGTTTTGCCTCATTACATGTATTTTGCTGCCTGTCTTCTCTGAAAACTGCCACAGTTTTCTGCCACTTGTCTAGAAGCATGACTGTAACCCTCTTCCACTTCCCAGCCCGTGCAAGGATTTGACTATGCCAAGCAGCACCTGGGCCAGCAAGGGGCAGATGAGGAGGTCATCCCTGTGACTCAGGAGACTGTGGTCCTTCCCCTGCCTGTGAGGGATGCTGCTCAGGAAAGAGACATTGCTCAGGATGGGAGCACCATCAAGACGGCCAAGTCCACAGAAACCAGAAAGAGGTAGGTAAGGGCTGACTTCAGCCTCTCTGTGTCACCAAGAGAAATAATTGATGGTGAAAGGAGTTGCAGCTCTCAAGTGAATTTCACTGCTCTCTTTAAAAATTCCCCTTTGTGCTTATTTTGAATATTGAAAAGGAAAATAAGGTAGAGGACAAGAGTCACAATGCTGCTCTATATGGGCCACTCTTGGTGACACTTCATATTGCTGAAGACCACAACAGTGGAGATGCAACTCTTTAGTTTACTCTGGCAAATTTGCTCTGATGCCACACTGAGGTTTTCAGTGTTTCTTGAAGGCAGTGCCTTTGAGTCAGGATAGTTGTATTTTATCTGGCAGTTTCTCAATGGAGTTTCTGATTTCAGTCAAAACCACTTATTGAGTTTTTCTACGAACAGAGTACTTTGACAGGCATTAGGAGGACGATAAAAATGTGTAGGATTGATTCCTGATCCTGAGGGCCTCATGACGGAGGAGACAGAGAGGTAAATAATGGGATAGCAGGTGTGATGATGTGCGGCCCACAGTGGGGTCTGAGAAAATACTCTGGCTGGGAGGCATCACGGAACAGGTTGTTTCAGCTCCTGTTCTCATGAAATTTAAAAACTGGTGGGGAAAGATAATAAAAAAAAGATCCCTCTATTCCTAGGTCAGGTAAGTGATAAGTACAAAGAAGAAAACCAAAACACAGCAAGGAGATTGAGAGATGGGGGTGGGGGTAGTACTATTTTAGATAGGAAGCCAGGGAGGACCTCACTGATAAACAAGATGTGAGAGCGACCCCACTGAAATAAGGTGTCAGCCAAGAGGCTGTCTGCAGGGAAAATGTTCCAAGCAGACATGACAGTATGTGCAAAGCTCAGAGGAGAAAACTTCTTAAAGAAGAACAAGGAGAACTGATAACCAGAATATATAGGGAACTTAACAAACTAAATTCTCCCAAAACTAATGAACCAATAAAGAAATGGGCAAGTGAACTAAACAGAACTTTCTCAAAAGAAGAAATTCAAATGGCCAAAAAACACATGAAAAAATGCTCACCATCTCTAGCAATAAAGGAAATGCAAATTAAAACCACGCTAAGATTCCACCTCACCCCGTTAGAATAGCCATCATCAGCAACACTACCAACAACAGGTGTTGGCGAGGATGCGGGGGGAAAAAGGAACCCTCTTACACTGTTGGTGGGAATGTAAACTAGTACAACCACTCTGGAAAAAAATTTGGAGGCTACTTAAAAAGCTAGACATTGATCTACCATTTGATCCAGCAATGCCACTCTTGGGGATATTCCCAAAAGACTGTGACACAGGTTACTCCAGAGGCACCTGCACACCCATGTTTATTGCGGCACTATTCACAATAGCCAAGTTATGGAAACAGCCAAGATGCCCCAGCACTGACGAATGGATTAAGAAAATGTGGTATCTACTTCTGTTCATCAAAAGAAATGGTCTCTAAACTGAAGAGAACACCCACAGAGTGGGAGAAAATATTTGCCAACTATACATCAGACAAAGGACTGATAACCAGAATATACAGGGAACTTAAAAAACTAAATTCTCCCAAAACTAATGAACCAATAAAGAAATGGGCAGGTGAACTAAACAGAACTTTCTCAAAAGAAGAAATTCAAATGGCCAGAAAACACATGAAAAAATGCTCACCATCTCTAGCAATAAAGGAAATGCAAATTAAAACCACACTAAGATTCCACCTCACCCCTGTTAGAATAGCCATCATCAGCAACACCACCAACAACAGGTGTTGGCGAGGATGCGGGGAAAAAGGAACCCTCTTACACTGTTGGTGGGAATGTAGACTAGTACAACCACTCTGGAAAAAAATTTGGAGGCTACTTAAAAAGCTGGACATCGATCTACCATTTGATCCAGCAATACCACTCTTGGGGATATACCCAAAAGACTGTTACTCCAGAGGCACCTGCACATCCATGTTTATTGCGGCACTATTCACAATAGCCAAGTTATGGAAACAGCCAAGATGCCCCAGCACTGACGAATGGATTAAGAAAATGTGGTATCTATACACAATGGAATTTTATGCAGCCATGAAGAAGAACGAAATGTTATCATTCGCTGGTAAATGGATGGAATTGGAGAACATCATTCTGAGTGAGGTTAGCCTGGCCAAAAGACCAAAAATCGTATGTTCTCCCTCATATGTGGACATTAGATCAAGGGCAAACACAACAAGGGGATTGGACTATGAGCACATGATAAAAGCGAGAGCACACAAGGGAGGGGTGAGGATAGGTAAGACACCTAAAAAACTAGCTAGCATTTGTTGCCCTTAATGCAGAGAAACTAAAGCAGATACCTTAAAGCAACTGAGGCCAATAGGAAAAGGGGACAGGAACTAGAGAAAAGGTTAGATCAAAAAGAATTAACCTAGAAGGTAACACCCACGCACAGGAAATCAATGTGAGTCAATGCCCTGTATAGCTATCCTTATCTCAACCAGCAAAACCCCTTGTTCCTTCCTATTATTGCTTATACTCTCTCTACAACAAAATTAGAGATAAGGGCAAAATAGTTTCTGCTGGGTATTGAGGGGGGGAGGGGGGGGTGGAGTGGGTGGTAAGGGAGGGGGTGGGGGCAGGGGGGAGAAATGAACCAAGCCTTGTATGCACATATGAATAATAAAGAAAATGAAAAAAAAAAAAAAAAAAAAAAAGAAAATGTGGTATCTATACACAATGGAATTTTATGCAGCCATGAGGAAGAACGAAATGTTATCATTCGCTGGTAAATGGATGGAATTGGAGAACATCATTCTGAGTGAGGTTAGCCTGGCCCAAAACACCAAAAATCGTATGTTCTCCCTCATATGTGGACATTAGATCAAGGGCAAACACAACAAAGGGATTGGACTTTGAGCACATGATAAAAGCGAGAGCACACAAGGGAGGGGTGAGGATAGGTAAGACACCTAAAAAACTAGCTAGCATTTGTTGCCCTTAACGCAGAGAAACTAAAGCAGATACCTTAAAAGCAACTGAGGCCAATAGGAGAAGGGGACCAGGAACTAGAGAAAAGGTTAGATCAAAAAGAATTAACCTAGAAGGTAACACCCATGCACAGGAAATCAATGTGAGTCAACTCCCCGTATAGCTATCCTTATCTCAACCAGCAAAAACCCTTGTCCCTTCCTGTTATTGCTTATACTCTCTCTACAACAAAATTAGAAATAAGGGCAAAATAGTTTCTGCTGGGTATTGGGGGGGGGGAGAGGGAGGGGGCAGAGTGGGTGGTAAGGGAGGGGGTGGGGGCAGGGGGGAGAAATGACCCAAGCCTTGTATGCACATATGAATAATAAAAGAAGAAAAAAAAAAGAATAAGGAGGCCAGGGAGGCAGATGTGCACTAGGGAGGAAGGACTAGTACGTGAGTCACAGAAGTTGCCTGCATTTCGTCATGTTGGGCTTTACAGATCGAAGCCAGGATTTGGAATTTTATTGTAAGTAAGTTCAGAAGGCATAGGAGGGCTTTCGGAAGAGCAATGACGTGATGTGCTGAGAGGCTCGCTCTGGCTCTGTGTGGAGAATCGACTAGGGATGCAAAGTAGAAGTGGGGAGACTCATAGGAAACTATTGCTGTGGTTCAGGAAAGAGATGGTCATTGGGAGAAGTAGTTGATTCTGGAAATATTTTGCAGGAAACACTGACCAGATTTGCTAATAGACTTGTATGGTGTGGAAATAGCGAGGAATGAACTTTCTCTTTATTGTGTTGGAGAGACCTGTAGAAGTTTGTTGAGGATGAGCAAGAGATTGGATGTTGGCATGGGGAATGTGAGATACCCACAGATATACAAGTGGAAGAGTTGAGAACTCATTAACCATGCGTTTGGAATTCAGAGGAGAGGTCCAGATTGAGAATATGGATGTGGGAGCTGGCAGAGTTCAGTTTTTCTATGAGACTTTAAGGAGTCACCTAGGAGAGAGTAGACAGAAAAGTTACAAGATCCAAAAACAGAACCCTAGAAACACGATTCGTGTTTCTGGTGCTTCCTCATCTTGCCACATCAGCTTCCTCATTCCAGCTAGATATAGGCTGCAGGCCTACTCTGAAAAGGAAAAGTAGTGGAAATCAATGATTTGATAGTTATTGATAGGCTTCAATTTAAAAAAATATTTTAAAACAAATCTGAGGATTTGGTCAGCCTCAGGGGTGTAGGTCTTTTTCCTCTAGTCTGGGGTATCGGTGATGCTATTTTGTTGATTTGTGGCTAGTATTGATGGGCCAGGATAGAGAGTCAATCTCATAGAGACAGACATTTGAAAAGGGCACTTAAATTAGTAATAAACCATAATTGTTTAGCAGTTGTTTAGTTCTACCCCCAAAACTGTTCACTCACATCCCAGATGGGGACCATGGAGCCTAAATCTGCAACCTCAAAGGTGATACTTTTTTGCTTTCAAAACCACTTTCACTACTGCCAAGTGCATCATGCATGTGTGCGCGCGTGTGCACGCACACACACACACACACAAATCTCACTTTATTTCTGACCAAGAGTTTCGAATTGATGACTCCATTTAAACAAATATCTACAAACTGATGCAAAGAATGAGGCAGAGTCAGGTTTTCTTTACAGAAATTTACTCATTGACACCTTCCTTAGAGTGAGAGAAACAGTCCAAAAATTGTGTCAGGATCAAATGTAGAAAAGGGTCTGAAAATACTACAAAATTTTTTCAATATAAAATAGCCTACAAAAAAGCCTTTCACTTTCCTTTTTTCCCCAGAACTAAATGAAAGCCTTTTTGTCCAACAAAGCCAGCTGGGAGCATAGGTGCTCTTAACCATGAGTTTCTGAAAACAATCCGGGGCATATGTCTGCTCTCTGTGTGTATTTGTACACCCAGCACTCAACAAGCAAAGAGCTGTTGGGTAAACAAATAGTGTATCCAATAAATTAATGTCCAATCCATGTTTTCCCAGACTATATTCTTTGTATTACTAATTTTATAGGACACTACAGGTTTTGTGGTGGAAGAGATTTGTGGCCACATAAACTAGAAAATGTTGGATTAAATGAAACAAGATGAATTTATGACAGCACTGATCAGAGCCTTTGATATGCTAATATGCATTGACAATCTCCAAAGAACAATCATAGTAAACACTTCCCAAGCTTATGTGTGGAAGTTTGGCTCTAGAACACTGTTAGCAGATGCTGCCTGGTGCCACAGACATCCTAATCATCTTTGTTGGTGGCTTTCAGCATGCTCACATACATAGAACTGAGAGCTCCTAGAGGAGGAGAAGGACACACAGTTTCCACCTAAGAAGCCACTCACCTATTGGGCAAGGGCATTGATTCCAGTCAACCTTCCATCACAGGGATTGGGAGCTAGTCCCTGGGAACAACAGAGGAACAAGAGGCCCCTAGGTATCAACCTCTTGACCAAAGGTGGCTGGTCTTTGTGCTCAGTCCACCCACAGGCTAGCATGGTCTGAAGCCCAAGGGGGTGGATCTGGAGAGCCCACTTTCTCACAAGGCTCTAGAAGGGGATAGTCTGGCCCTGAGGGAAAGAAAGAAGGCCCTCTGGCTTGCCCACATCAGGGTCACTGTTGGAGACTGTGAAGGGAGGGTGTTCCAGGGTTTGGGTGGAGGTGATCCCTGGCGTCCAGGAGAATTTGCCACTGCCCAGCTCTGCCCTGGACAATGCTGTTTCTTGCTGACCAAGGCTGGCAATCACCAAATCAGGGATCACTGTAATGAACTGTGACCCGGTTTGGAAGCACTCAGCATAGTCCTCGGCACACAGTAGATGCTCTGCGGTTTGTTCTCAGCATGGAGTAGCTTCAGTGCCGCAGGGTCAATAACCCTGATGTAACTGATGCTCGGCACAGAGAAAGTGCACAAAAAGTATTTTCTGAAGGAACAAATACCTCAAGTTGGCATTTTCAAAATGCATTGGTTACTAGTTAGCCACCATTAAAGAACATGTATGTATGTGTGCAGGTGTGCATGTGATTGATAGAGAGAAGACCCCCATGGTGGGGAGACCTAATCTTTTATAATAGGATCTGTGTTATGCAAAGAATAGCCAAAGAGAACCTTGTTTCATGTGTGTCTGAAGATGTCCAGGTGATTCAAATACTTAGCATTCAAGGTGCTGTGTATTGCAAGGAGGCCATGGTACACAAACCATTTCCATAGTCCCTGGGGGTTAATGAAGCAGAGATGGGACTGAGGGCTCTGCTCACTGAACTTGTCTGCAGAGTCAAGTTCGGGAAAATACACTGCAGAACAAGCGACAACCTTAATCCATGCAGTAGTGTGGGTGGTTTTTGTTTTTTTTCTTTTCCTAAATCATTTCTTCTTTGCTGGTGAAACTGGAACGAAAGGCTACAGACGTAAACTGTGCAAATAAAGTAACCTTGAGAGGTGGCTGTTCTAGTTGAAACTTACCCTCTCCCTGTTGCTATGGTTACCTCCAGCAGGTCGCCCAGTGAGAATGGCTCTGTCATCAGCAACGAATCAGGGAGCCCAGCTCAGGGAGACGCTCACCCCAGAATGTAATGGCACAGGAGAAAGTGACAAAGGAGGAGGCAAGGAAGAGAAATGGTGAGAAGTCTTCCCGCCAGCCAAGCCCGGCCCCAGCCCCTCCCACATGAGCTCTCCCACACAGCACAGGCACTGCACACCCTCACCCATCCCATGTGCTCTACCCTCGCCCTTCTACTCCATCCTCTGCCCCACATGGGCCAGGAGTGCTCTGTGAACCCTTGGATGATCACCTTTGCCCCCTCCTCTGAATTGTTCTGGCCCACCTCCTCTGCCCCTGTTCTTAAGGAAATGTGCAGTCTTTTATTGAAACCCTTTGCAGAATGAACTGGTATTTGCTTAGAGATTTTTTTCTAGTTCTTGGATTAGTTACATGATTTCCAGCACCTTGTCTACTAAGGTGACAGGTCTCTGAAATGCAGCCTATCTTGGAAGTATTCTTTAATTTCTTACCCTGATCACCTTGATGAATTTCAGGGGGATTCAGTCTGTACCAATGAGTTCAGATGTTGCAAATCTACCTCTGGGGGGCTGAGGGACAAACAAACAGATTTGCTAACAACAACAAAAAACATCAGTCTTGTAAGTCAGAGGGGGACAAGCCTGTGATTCAGCTACCCCGGAGGCTAAGGCAGGAGAATTGCAAGTTTGAGGCCACCCTGGGTAACTTAGTGAGATACTGTCTCAAAATAAAAAATAAAATAAAAAGGACTGGAGATGTAGCTAGAGAGCTTGTAGCATGCACAAGGGCTTAGGTCCATTCCCCAATACTGAAAAAACAAAACGAAAACAGCCTTATGTTTAATTCTTCCAGGGACTGAACTCTTTAGTTTATTTTGCACACATTATCCCGCCCCCCTACCCCCCCACCCCACCCCCACCCCCACCCCCGCAATAAAGGACTGGTGTTAGGGTTTATTTCTGAGTCACCTGAGTGCTCCTGTGATGCTATGGCATCACCTGTAGATGACACCTGTTGGACGTCATTGTGTAGCCCTGCTCTTATCCTGACCTCATCTTTGCTCTGACCCTCAACCCCTATAGGTCATGCAGATCAAGGAAAATTCCTTTCAGATTTCAAAGGGTTGTAGGTGGTGCTCTGCAGAAATGCCAGGTGAAATGCTAAACAGTCTGGCACTGGTAGCTTAGCTGGGCTTCCCTTCGAAAGGAATTTAATGAAGTGTAACTCAGGGATTCTCTTTCTTGAAGGTAGGGGCAGAATATTCTTTGTTTTCAAATGTCACTTCTTTTTCCTGTCCAAAAAAAAGTTTTAAAAAATGGAAAGAAAAGAAGAATGGATGAAAGGATGACACAACGGATTTGTATTCTGCAGAGAAAATATGGTTCTCGTTCCCATTTCCAACTATTATATGAAGCATTTGTTTAAGCTGTCATGCCTATTTGTTTTTTAAATTTGTCTTCTCCTGAATTCTGAATGCCCTGGAAGTCAGAGATTGTGCTTTGTGCCTTAGAATTCAGGTATGACCTGTGGGATTTTTCTGGAATATCTCCCCTGCCTGGAACCCAAGAAACACTGCTATCAGCTCTCTGCCAAGGAAACAGACAAGGGATGTTCTGGAATCAGAGGAGCTCTGATCTATGTTCCCAGGGCAAAGTGCTAAGAGATATGGGTAGAGGAAACAAGGTGACAGCAGAGACAATGGCCAGTGAAGCCATAGGAGTAAAAGGGGTAGTTTTAATTAAGTATGGTCAGCCCTCCATATCCAAGGGTTTTACAACCTCAGAGTCAATCAACTGTGGATTGAAAATATTAGGAAAAAATTGTGTCTGTGCTGAACATGTACAGAGTTTTTGTAATTCTCTAAACAACATAGTATAATAACTATTTATATAACATTTATATTGTATTAGGTATCATAACTCATCTGGAGATGATTTAAAATGTATTGGAGCCAGGTGCCAGTGGCTCACGCCTATATAATCCTAGTTATTCAGGAGGCAGAGATCAGGAGATTTGTGGTTTGAAGCCAGCCCCAGGCAAATAGTTTGCGAGACCCTATCTCAAAAATACCCAACACAAAAAAGGTCTGGTGGAACCACTCAAGTGGTAAGTAGAGTGCCTGCCTGGCAAGCTTGCAGCCCTGAGTTCAAACCCCAGTGCCACCAAATAGATAGATAGATAGATAGATAAAAATGTATGGGAGTATGTGCACTTTTACATGCAAATACTGTACCATTTTTATAAGGCTCTTGTGTATCCACAGACTTTGGCATCTCTGGGTATCCCTACAGATGATGAGAGATGACTGTACTATGACAACCATTGCCTGAGCAACATGGTGCTCGTGCACTCTCCCAGCTTTGCCTTTTCCCTTCGCCTTCCTCCTTCATTTCCTTCCTTTGTATACCTCCTGAAATGTTATAAAATCAAGGCAATGAACAATTTCTCCCCCAGATAGCCCCCTCACCAACCTCAGGGCTTAAATGACCCTGAATAACTTTTTTACGTCTTTCTCTGACCTTTTCACTATGCATGTGACAACACACACATATCTTTGTGTTTTGTCATCTTGCCTTGTTTTCTCTTATAAAATGGAATCATCATGCACATTGTTCTACGACCTTTTTTCTTGCTTAAAAATGTGCAAAGTACAGACTCCTCTGACAGTCAATAGACATTTACAAAATGATGCCTTTCCCCACCCCAGTATTTAGCCCATGGAGGAAGAGTGAGCAGGTGTGTTCACAACACAATCACTCCTCACCCACTTGGTGAAGCTAACTGACTGGTTCCAAGTGTCCCTGCTGATCTTTGCTGTTCCTGTTTTCCCTCTCTGCCTGTCTCCTTGCTCTGTTTAGGTCACTTTGATTATATAAATATCAGGTTTGGAAATACTAACAGATGAGTGCATGAATACAATGCAATTACTATGGCAGGTTGAGGTTTTCATTTGTTTTATTAAGAAACCATCCCTTCCAGGTTTAGAGCACTTGCTGGGTTACATTTTAATTTTACCAAAAGTAAACCCAGAGAATTTGTAGAGTTGGTTGCTTCTGTTTAACCACAGGTTTCTGTTCAGTGAGGTTTAGGGTTGACATTTTCAACTAGAAACAATAGAACCAACTCATTTATATAAAATTCAATGGACCTGAATGAGGCACATGAGAATTCTAGATTCCAACCTTTTATGAAATTCACTTTTGTCCATTTATATCAAAGGTTTTCTTTTTGTCTTAATACAAGGTAAGAGTTAATTAATAAAATCAATAATGGTTTTGATAGGATTGGAAGAGAAGCCAAAGGAAGGTAGGAAGAAAATACCATTGAATGGAATGTGGAGAAAACAGAGAAGTGTATTTTCATCATCTTGACAGCCTATAAACTGTGCGAGTGTGAATGTGGCCTCTGAGAATGGATTATTCTGTTGTCTAGTGGCTTGCCATCTAATCTAGAGGTTAGGTTATTAGGTTAATTATAAATGTTAGCATTCTAGGCTGCCACTCTAAAGCTGTTCTTTTCCATCAGATCCGTTGCATCTGCAGCTTCTGATCTTGCTCCTTTGTGAAAGCAGGAGCTTCAAAAGGAAAAGACACTGTCCCCCTAGCAACATGACTGAAATTGGTCATGTTATAACCCAATGGCTGCATTAACTACTCTATTAGTTACATTTCATTAGTGGCTGTTACCAAATACTGGACAGAAGCAACTTAAGGGAAGAAGGACTTACTTTGGCTCAAGATTTCAGAGGGTTCAGTCACAGTTGCTTAGCTCTGATTCTGATTCCGGGTCCCAGGGAGGCAAAACGTCATGGCAGTAGCTACTTACCCTATGACAGACAGGAAACAGAGAGAGGGAGAGGAAGGGGCCAAGGACAAGATGTCCCCAAGGACCTGATCCCAGTAGCCTACTTCCTCCAGCTAGGCCCCACCTTCTAAAGTTTCCATAACCTCCCAAAATAGTGCTACCAGCTAGGGACCAAGTGTTCAAAGCATGAAACTGAACAGTTGTCATAACTGTGAGGCAATTTTAGAGTCCATTTCATGAAGCTGTTTAAATGTAAGTAAGAAAGTTAGATGTGGCAGCTAGGATTTTGGAAGCAACCAAATATACACATTTGAATTTCTGAGCCAAACCAGTATCGTCTTCGAAAAGATGTTTTCATGAAAGAGTTAAAAGTAAGTGCAGAATAAATATGTATGTTTACATATTAGGTGAAAAGATATTTTTTATTTCTACATATATATGTATGTATATATGTATATATATATACATACATATATATATCTTCTTCACTTAGTTAAGAGCAAACCACCTCCATAAACCCTGTAACTGTCAACCAGAGATTTCACTTTCAGAACCCAGAATCTAACCAGACCTTGCCTCCTACAACTCACAGGGCAGGTGAGGCAAGAGGAAAATAAAAATTAAAGAGTTTTGAGGATTAATTACCACTTTCTTGGCAGGGGTCAGGGGTCTTGAGGAGGTATCTAGGATTAAGATTAAAGGAAGATTTGTCAGTAATACTAGCTCAAAGAGCCAGGCATGGTGGTATACACCTATAATGCCAGCACTTGGGAAACTGAAGAAGGAAACTGAAGGGCAGCCTGGGACTTCATAGGGAGACTCTGTCTCAAAACAACTGCACAGTTTCAGTTTTATTCTTTCTTTGCCAATGAGGTGTAAAGGCTTGCTTTTCATTTATTGATTGATTGATTGATTGATTGCAGTATTGGGATTGAAATCAGGGTCGCAAGTGCTCTACCACCTGAGCCATTCTCTGAGCCTTTTTTCTTTGTGTTTTTGTGTTTTGGTTTTTTTGAGATTAGGTCTTAATTTACCTGGACTGACTTTGTACTGTGATCCTCCTGCTTCCACCTCTCAAGTAGCTGGGATTACAGGCATGTACCACCACTCCCAGATTCTTATTTTATTCTTAATCAACAAATAACATTTGTATAAATTCATAGGGTACAATGTAATGTTTCCGTACCTGTACACATGTGAAATGATCAAGTCATGGTAATTAGCATATCTAGTTATTACCAGAGGGTATTGATGCTAGTTGCAGATTATTGGTCTTTGAGTGTTAATGAACATTTCAGAAAGAAATAGCAGGTATTGTTTAGAAGTTTTTTTCTGCCTCTGATGGGAGGGCTCTCATATGCCAACTCAAACATGACAAAATGAAATCTCTCTTCCCAGCCTGATTTATTGAAATGAAAACCAACATGTGAATAAGGCACAATGAAATGCAAACAAGGCACAAGAAGATACAAGACAATTGTGTAGTGGCATTTACTGTGATGGGATGGCACCCTAAGATACTTCTTCAGTTCAACTATGGCCCTTGCCTTCAGTGTCCTCCCAAGCTTTTTACTTTAAGGACTAGTTATGCATTAAAATCCCCATGTACCTGCTGTCCTCACCCAACATTTTGATGTATTAATATTTAATGTAATACACTTCAGTGTATTTTCCCATGAAGTCTTTTGTGGAGGAGGATAACTATTTTTCCCTTTTTAAAAAAAAAACTAGAGGGAATGTGCAAATCTGAAGACAAGGTTTTGAAATCAAGGATGGATTAGAACTGTACCATGTACAGTTTCCAGGGTGTTATCCTCCTGTCCTGTTATAGTTATACTGCCCATGGGGAATAGGGGGATGTCACAACCCAGAACAGGTGCCATTTCTTTATCTTCTGAATGGCTTAGCAATAGCATGACTTTAGCTTCCACATGAGCACCTGTTCTGATGGTGTGAACAACAACAACAACTCCTTTTCCAAGTCGTTCTAAGCTGTTCATTCGTTCTCCTATGTATTCAACACATTCCTACCAAAGGCCAACTCCATACGAGACACTGTTAAAGGCAATAGGCCTTTGATAAGATGGACCAGAGTGGAGTCTATATTCTAGTGGCAGGGGTGAGGGTAGATTGTAAACCAGTAAAACAAATCAATAGTGGCCAGTGCAGTGAAGAAAATTTAACAAGGCGATGAAGGGGTTATTACAGGTTGGTGATTAGGGAAGGTGGTTGTCACCTTGAAAAAATACAAAGCACCTGGGTATGTAAAGATCTGGGGAAAGAGCATTCCTAGCAGAACATCCAATGCCAGCTTCCTGAGGTGGAGCAAGCCTGCTGTGTTCCACAAGCCTTTGTGTAAGAGCAGAGCGGATAACACTAGAGGCAGGAGATGGACTTAGCTGGGCAGCCTGTAGAGCTCCTCCAGGGCCTGGTTGGAAAGAAATCCTCTGGCTTTATTCTGAGAAAAATGAAGCCTGTAGAGCATTCTGGTCCAAGGGGTAATATGATCTGGTTCCCATCTAAGAAGATCATCTGTCCTGACTGCTGGTAGAGTATGTATTTTAGGGGCAAGGGAACAAGAGTAAGAGATCCTAGGTGGGAGGTTGTCTTAAAGGTGTATAGATTACTTATTGCTATGTAACAAATTATCCCTTTACCTAAAATGACAGTCTGCATTTATTGGCTCACATGTCTGTGGGTCAGGAATTTAGGAGGAGCTTAGCTGGGTGGTTCTAGCTCAGGGTCTTTCATAGGTCACGGTCAAGATGTCCTGGACTGTAGTCATTTAAAGTCTTAACTGGGCTTAAAGAAGACTCACTTGTGTGGCTGTAGGTGAGATGCCTCAATTCCTTGTTACCCAGATTTTCCCATAGGGCTGCTTGAAGGTACTTGGAACATGCAGCTGATTTCCCCAGTCAGTAATTCAGGAGACAGCAAGGTGGAAACCATCATGTTTTATTGTCATTGTTGTTTGTTTTGTTTTTTCAAAAAACCTTGGAAGCAACTTACTGTCATTTCTGTAGTTTCTTCTTGGTAATTGGTGAGTCCTGTCCATTGTGGGTATGAGTGTCAGGAGGTAAGAATTACTAGGAGCCATCTTGGAGGCTGGCTGCCATAGGTCGCTTTTACAGTAGTTGTCCTGATGGGAGATGATGGTGGACCAGAAAAACTACATGTAAAAATATATGTGCATCTGGTAACACGTCTCAAAAGAGATTTCCTTCTGTCCATTGGCTCCTTGGTATTTGCAAACCAGCCCACAGAAGAAAACAAAACACAGTATCCAATTATAATCCATTGTTAGACTCTGAGGTGTTTTTGCTACATTGTAAAATAACAATTTACTTGGCTTAATTTGACAGATCTTCTGTGATTATGGTAAGTGACAGGATGATATAAACCATGTGTTTCTCAATAATTTAAATAACATTCCAGTCTCCTGAGCAGGCAGGAGGAAAGATGAATACACTTCTATTACATTCATATTTTATATAACACCTATTTTGCTTCTAAATTGTCTACTGGTTTAGTTTGAACAGGCTTAATTTATCTCTTGCTGAGCCATGCTCAATAAGCTGTCATTCCTATAGCTACTTCATGGGAATATGTTTCAAGAACAAGTAAATCAGCAAGATACCCCTTGCCCTGGAACTTCTTCTGTCAGCTTAGTTATGGAAGCACAAAGTGTCTTTCAGCCACTGCAGCAGAATGATCTGTCAGATGGGAGAATTAATTTAACAGAGTGTAGGTGGCAATCAGTCTATTTAATTAGGGGAGTTGTCTGTAGCTTTGGTAATTTCATAGCTTTTTTTTGTTTGTTTTAGACAAATGAAAGAAACCAAAAACTCAAATCATTGGAGAAGCAGCCTTCAAAAAGAAAGGAAAGAAAAAAAGAAAATAACAACAGAAATTAGTGTTGCTAGTTGACCAAGGAAGACTGTGCAAAAAATGGTAGCATCATTGACAAAGACTAGACCTAAAGGTGTTCCTCTAGTGATGGTCAGATTTGAAGAAGTGCTGTAGGGGTTGGTCAAATTTATTTTTCTCATTTCAATTCAAACATAGAAGACAAATTTTCTTTTTATTATTTTCAGGTATGTTTTGTTACAATTTTGAAAGAATAGATTTTGTTGTTTAAATTTAAACCTTTAAAATTCTTTCCCACCCACCGACCATACAATGGCAGGATAAATAGTAAAGATCTTAAATTTAAGAAGAAGCCAAGAGCAGCAGCGAGCCCTTGGCAGAACCAGACATTATTGTCTCTGAGGTCATTTTGAGTAAAGTAGTGTCCTTAGGTAGCAAGCCTTCTGTTAGTTCTTCCTGATGGCACAGCTCCCTACATCATAAAACCCATGTGTTTGTGTTGGACTTCAGTGCCAGCCAGTGACGAAGAGGAGGGAGCGGTTCTTTTTGACAACTCTGGCAAGGCAACAGCAGATCCCTTCGACACGTCTTCTGGGTCTGTGCAGCTCATCGCAATCAAACCCTCAGCCCTACCCGTGGTGCATCCTGCCTTGGACAGGAGCCAGGAGTCCTCAGCCGTCCTCAATGGTGAGGTGAGCACCCAAGACCCTGCACAGGAGAGGAAGAGTCCAACAGGTGGCAGGGGTTGAATTCAGGAGAATTCCTTGGTGTGTGGGGTGCAGCTTGAATCTAGTTGCCTTGGCTGCAGAGGTCATGTTAACCTCTGCATGCACCAGGCCTCAGTGGAATACCTCAGGACACAAGTCATCCAAAATGAGTTTGCTCATAGCATGTTCGATCTTCATTGAAAGCCCACAGGGAGGCTAGAGGTATGGCTCAAAGGGTAGAATGCCTGTCTAGTTCAAATCCTCAGTTCAAACCCCAGTACTGCCAAAAAAAAAAAAAGAAAACCCAAAGGAACCTTTTTAACACTGTGGTTGTGAACACAAGCATCAGAAGTCACACTTTCCTCACCTCTCACACACAGTCCTATGCCTCTCTCCACCACACTCCTCAACTTCCACTAGGGACATCACTGTTATGCTGATGAAAAGGACATGAATTGAGAGGGAAGCTGAAAACATTGTCACTAAGAACATATTTTGGTAGACATGGATGTGGCCTGTAATAGGCTTTGAAATAATAATTATTCCTTTGAACAAGTTCAAAACAAACCACTGGCTACTTTCAGGAGGGTATGAATGGATATCATGATGTTAACTGGCTTTTCTAAGACTTCAGAAATTCTGTAACATACTTCAGAGATGATGATTTGATCAAAACAAATTTGAGATAGGTAATAGATATATATGCTTGATAAGTCATATCAAGTCATTTTGTGTGTGTGTGTGTGTGTGAGAGAGAGAGAGAGAGAGAGAGAGAGAGAGAAAGATTACATGTGAGCATTTATATTACCGATGACTGCATTTGTGCATTCACACACACACACACACACACACACACACTTTGTCAAACTGATGGGTTAAACTGTCAACCATTTATACCCTGCTACTGTTACCTGTACCAGGTGAGATATTTTCAAAATTTTAGAATCTCTTTTCCACCACACCTCCAGGAACCCACCACAGCACTGTACAACTAACTGGGCATTGTAAATGCACACCAGGGCCTTTCCTCCGCCATCCAGAACACTCACCAAACTGTACAAACCTGATTCAGGAAGTGTCCTTGTTTCCTGGGCAGAAAGACTGAGCCAGCTTAAAGAGGTAACCAGTTGAGGCTCATCAACTTTTAAAAATAACTGCTTATACATTCAAGGAAGCACTTCCATTTCAACTGCCTCATTTTCAGATAAGCTAAAGCCTGAGAAATCAAGAGACTTGCTCAAGGTCACACTGAAGGTTATTGTGGCAGCCAGAGTGTTCAGGTGCCTTGACTCCCTGTCCAGCGCTCTTTGCCTCTTTTTAATGCTTATTTCAGCCCACTGGTGAAAAATAGCATTGTGCTTGAAAGAGTCTGGCTCTCAAGTATGCTGCTGGAGTTTGAATCGCAGCTCTTTAGGGCAGGTTGATTCCTCTGTACCTCAGCATCTCCATCCACAAAATGGGGCAGCCATGAGGATCAAACTGGTCAATGTATATAAAGCACTTAGAACAATGCCGGACACAGAATAAGCACTTTATTATTATCAATTAGTCATGGGGAAGGATTAATTGGCTGTGTCCTTCATGCCCCTTGGGTCTATGGTATGACAGCCTGGATGTCATCTCAAAACCAATCGTAGCCACTGAATCTTTCCTCAGGTGCAGTCATGCCACCAGATACACAAACACCTGAGGTTGATGCTAAATCACTAATAACTGCTCTTGGTTAGGACTTTCTGCCTAGTTAGGGACCCACATAATGGCTGCCATGCCTGAATCTCTTTGTCCTCACTTAATGATGGGAATACCATATAGACAAGACTCCAAATCTGGGACAGATTCAACTTGCCACTCCCTTTTCCTCCCAGGCCCATCACCCTGTCACAGGAGAGCAGATGAGCATTTTTCTTGTCCAGAAATGGATACTTGCTACATTTGCATTGTTAAAGGAAAGGACTTTGCTGGCATTTGGATTGGATGAGATCCCTGAACTGTTCTCTGTAATTTGCTATCTGTGAAACTTGACACAGATTGCTTGTAATTTTCTTTCTTCTCTTACGGGTGGCTGGTTTAAATGAAACAAGCATAACCCCGAAGCTCTAAATTTCCCTTTTATGAATTATAGGAAATTCTTTTAAAGAAAACATAATAACAACATTGAAATAAAAATGTGGGTATAATGTCATTTGTTAAATAATAAACATGGTCATCTTCTTGAATCTTTCATGGGTGAAGGTATTTTAGTCACATTTCTCTCTGAACGATCAGTCAGTCAGTCCCTATTGAGAAGGACCTATACAAAGCTTTAAAATTAGAAACACACTTTCACATACAAGATGACTATGTATCCTCTGGAGCAGGACATTTGTTCTACCTTCCCGCCCAGCCATTCTAACTCACCTGCTTCAGGGACTGGTTGTCTAAACCAGCTGAACCCCAGCTATGTGGCCAGGGGAGGTCATAGGGTGCCTCAGGACTGGAACCACACTCAGGGCACCAAGAACTAGCTGAGCTAGTTTAGAAGTCAGAGGCACCCATGCCATGGAACCACAAGGGTAAGAGCAGAGTCAGGACCAATGCCACAAAGCTAAAAGCAGAGAGTCAGAACCAGGCCAGGACAGAGTCCGGGCAGCCTTGGGGGTAGTCCTGACTGAAGATCAGCATGTCAAGCTCCATATTGTTTGTGGGCTAGTGTTGAAAGGGGACACAGGTGGGTCCAGCAGAGGTAGAGCCCATGATGGCTTTCCTAGGAGTTCTGGCTGTCTGATGAAAGCCCACAACCTGCCACCATTCTGGGTCAGGTGGACCTGAGACTGTCTCTCTTCCCAGGTGAACAAAGCCCTAAAGCAGAAGTCGGACATCGAGCACTATCGGAACAAGCTACGCCTCAAAGCCAAGAGGAAGGGATATTATGACTTCCCTCCGGTGGAGACAAATAAGGGCCTGACTGAAAGAAAAAAGATGTATGAGAAAGCCCCAAAGGAAATGGAGCATGTTTTGGAACCAGACCCGGAACTGTGTGCTCCGTTCGCAGAGGCTAAAAACAGGTGCCAGCTCTGTGGAATTCTCTTTAGGTCACTGTATCATGGACGGGATGAGGGCAGAGGACGCCCCAGGCAGTAGAGCCCTGGTCCCCTGAACTGGTAGGATTGTGATTTTTGCAAGACACTGCTCTGGGCCCCACTGGTCTGCACAAGCAGGTGTTCTATAATGAATTTGGAAGACAGCAAAACTGAAGCCATTAAAAAATATATACACTAGGGTACCTTAATTGTCCTTAACATAATGATATTTTCCAACTAGTAACTGTTTCAGAGTTGGGTGAAGATACAATTATCACCTACCTAGTTATACACCTTCCAGATGAAGGGACATTGTATTTTTAAAATTATGTTAGTGGCTCTTGCCAAAGAAAAGCAAATTTCATACCTCGCATCTTTACTGAGCCTCGTGAGGACTTCACATTGCCGCTCAGTACTCTAAGCCAGTTCGTCTCGTTCATTCAATGATTAGTTATTTGACATTTGTTCTCACCTGCTGTGTGTTAGGCACCAATCAAGATGCTGCACACTGTCATGACCATGTGGGCTTTTTATCATTGACTTCTTCAGTTTCTTCAACATTTTATGGTGGACAAGATAGCCTGACTGCTATTCCCATGGAGCTTAAGGGCTGATGGGAGAGAAAGATAATCACCCCAAAAGTGTTCATTACAAGTCTGAGGGGTGTTTGAAGTGTGAGCCACCATAGCAACCTAACAGGGAGCCTGGCCTAGTGAGGCAGGACTAGGCTAGGTGGTTTGAAATTGTTTCTGTCTTGGAGTGTTCTGTACTTCTATAACAAAATATTTGAGGCTGAATAATTTATAAAGAACAGAAATTATTCTTCTCACCCTCTGGAGGCTGGGAAGTACAAGATCAGGTGCCAGCATCTGGTAAGGGCATTCTTACTGCATCACCACATGGTAGAAGGTGGATGGACAGAGAGAGCAAGAGCGAGCTTACACTTCCCTTTTATACTACTATTAGTGATACTATGAGAGCAGAGTCTTTATGGTCTTATCATCTCCCAAAGGTACTACCTCCTAATGCTGCCAAAATAGCCACCAAATTTCAACATGAGTTTTAGATCGGGGGAAACAGTCAAACCAGAGCAGCTGCCTTCTAGGCTCTATTGCTAACTGTGCAGTGTGACTTCACACACTGGGTAAAGAGGTAGAGAGGTTAGTGAAATGGATCGTGTCCACCTCTCTTCCTTTCCTACCTGCCTGAAGCACTTTCATGATTTGATACCACCGCTTTCCAGTGCACGTTCTCCTTGGTGACCTCCCCCTGGCTTTGAGCGGTCAGCACTTCACCCAACATGGAGTCACAGCAGATTCATATTCTACGATGGGGAACATTAGAGCAGTTCCTGGCCAGATGGGTATTTACTAAAAGCAAAAGTGACTATGTGATAGGCTTTGTTCAAAGCCTCAAGTTGGAAGGTGGGGCTAAATCTTATAAAGTAAATCAACATAATTTATGTTTCAATAAAGAAAAGGGGGAATTCTAAACTAGGGTTTAATTTGCCATGCTTCTAATTAGGCTTGGCTGATATGACAAGCTGCTGACTTAAAATCATACCATGGTGGGTACACAATGCATGTGTCACCATGTTAATGACTGTAAGAGAAGGGAGAAGAAAAGATTTTATGGGGAGGCTGGTGTCAACTTTAGCTTTCCCTTTGGGCCTGCTTCAGGGGCCTCTTATAGACTGAGACAGGAGCTGCGTTTCCTGGGTTTTCTGTTGACACTCAGGAAAAATGAATCAATTATGTACAAATAAGGGGAACTTGGCTTGGAAACTACTTGAGAAACAACAATTTCAGTGACAGCTTTTTATGAAAAGAGAAGGAACAAAGAATGAATGAAGCTTTTGAGGAAGCTGCATCTGCTTTGCCTCGTGTAGGTCTAGGCCAGATGGTAATGACCAGTTGGTGGCCTGCTGTTGCTGTGTGTATAGTTAATTCTCAGTGAATGTCTGTCAAAGAAATGATTCAACATCTGTAAAGCACTAAACATAATTAAAATTTTTTGACCAATTAGGGGAAAAGATGGATAGCCACAATGTAGGTGAGTGAAAAATAGATAGGATTAGTGAGAAAGAGAAGGAGAAACAACCTGTGTCACTCTTCACACACCCTGCCATTGATGCCAGAGGCTATCTGTCATCACAGGTTAGAGTTACCTGTTAATTGCTGTTTGCAGTACAGTTCTCTGGAGACTCTGCTCCCAGCCACCAAGCCACAGCAGGGCACAGGGAGAGAATTGTTCTGCAGTCCAGACGTAGCATCGGTCACCAGAATTTTACCTTCAGACCAAGGTGAAATCAAATAAAAGACAAAGTTGACATTCCAACTGTTGACTCATCACTAAATCTTTTAAAATAGTTTTCATAACTCTTCAGTTCTGAAATCAGAAAGCCACTCCCGTTTTATATTCTAAACTCTTACCAAGACAAAGTGCACAGGGTACCTGAGATGCTCTCTGCGAGCTCCTTCTGATTTTATGAAGGCTGAAAGGGTTTGGGGTTCTAGTTACTGTGTGACCTTAGGCACAAACAAAAACCACGGAGACCCTGTGAGTTGCAGAAGCTTCTGTCACCTGGTTCAGGGGTGCTGGCATAGCAAGTGATCACTCAGTTCTAAGGCCAGCAACAGCCTGCTGTCTGCAAGCCTCTGTGACTCCCACTTGACAGCTTTTTCTCAGAAGTGTCAGGTCATTAGTGCATAGGCAGCATCCTCAGCCCATAAGAGGTAGGAATCTGTGGATAAATAGCCCTGGGAGGGAGCTCTGATGTGTTAGCTACACTGTTGTAATTACCACACTTTCTAAAGGCTGTATGTGATGCTCTGATATGGGGGGGGAGGTGCCTTGCTGACTCCAGAGAAGCCACCCCTCCCAGGGATACCCAATTCCTTGTGACAGGAAAGGACTCACTGGCAAACTCACTTCTTATATACAAACCAACCCATCATGAACCCACACCTTAGCCACCTCCCCACACCTCAGCCACCTCCTTTAGGTGGTATCCCAGGACTCTCACTCATTATCCATCTGCCTGAATCACCCCAGGACAAGATACCAACAAACTAGCCATCCCAGGCCTGCTTCCCACATAAATCACAATAAAGACTTTTGCCTTTCTGCTTCACTCCATCTACTTCCTGACTAACCCTGGTCCTTCTCTATGTGGCCTTCTATGGGGTGGCCTGTACCTTCCTCTTGAGATTCATCTGTGTAACAAGCTATTTTTTCAATGGCACTCATCCTTTGCCAGACCCGAATAGTTAAAGCTACATTTAATACAACCATCCTTCACACTTTTCCAGTTAAGTTTGAACCCCAGTTTCCTATAGCACTGATCTCCATATCATACCTTTGTTGACTTCCTTCCATCTCTCTCTTATTTCCCTGCTTGCACCCCTGCTGGTAGTCTCTGCAACCAGCTCCCAAATAAGCCCCTCAAATAATAGATAATAATATCGCCTGCACTTAAATCGTCGTAGAATTTGTCTGGGACAATTGCCAGACTTAGGCAGTTATATATAAGATAGAATTGCTCTGACACAAGCCAAGTGCCCTTCTCCCTCTCTATGGCTCTAGGTCATTTCTATGGAATCCCAGAGCCCTTTCTTAAAACTCTCCTGGGGTTAAAAAGCCCCTAAAAATACAAGTAAAACTCATTATCATCTGTGCAACAATATTTTCAGTGATTAAAAAAAAACTTCTCAGAAAGTTTGCATGTTCTAAAATTTGTTAACTTTTAAAAAGTTAATAAATACCAACAAGAACAAATACTCCTTATGGAACTCCATTTATTTAAAATAGGCAATTTCTGTACCCCAGAGCCTAATTTATCTCTAAGTAGATATTCACACACCAGGCACAAGATGGGGTCAGGTGACTGAGATCCTTGTTAATCAGCAGCCTTTAAGCTGTGCATTATAATGTATCATTGACTCCAGGAAGAATAGACAACAAAGTGGGTCCTCCAGTGTCTAAGGTTTTACCCACATTCCTGGTTCTTAAAAGGTTTACACCATCCTATTTTTAATACTTACAAAATAACCTACTAAAATGTCAATTGCCAATCCTCCTGCTTACTCTGCCACCACCCTTATTAGTAAATCTTTTCTAAATGGGCTAATTAGCAATCTCAGGACAGCTGTGAAGTCTGCTTTATGAAAAAAATTATTTGTAATTAGGTCAAGGATGAGAATTCTTTGGGGTCTGCCTTAAAGTGTGAGTCACTCAGAATAGATTCTGTCTCACAAGCTTGTGAAGGCTGAGTGCCTTCCTAAAGAAGCTTCTAATTTCACATAACTGGAGAGCACAGTTTATAACCTGAGGTTGTAAACTCCTATCTTAATCAGGATTCTTTTGGTTGCAAATGTCAGAAATTCAACATAATCTGGTTTAATAAAAGGGGATGTATTATTGAGCATTATTGAAAGGTCAAGACTTCAGCATGACTGCATCAAGAGGGTCGTACACTGCTACCTATATTTGCTCTTACTCTCTGTTCACTCTTTGCCAGCCCCATTTGAAGTCAAACTCTAACCTCATGGTGACAGACTGACTGCCAGCAAATCCAGGCTCGTGTCCCTATTTTTTTAGAGACCTCAGGGCCAAGAGAGTGCCTCTTTCTTATTTGCCCTCGCAAAAGCCATGCGATTCAATCTCACTGGACTAACTCGGGTCACATGTCCACCATCTCACCAATTACATGGCCATGGGGATGTGAGCCTGTGGTCCAGCCTGAGTCAGCTGCCTCTCCTGGAGGAAAGGTAGCTTCCAAGGAACACCATGCTGCTCTTACCAAAAGAAGCTTCTCATGGGTCTCAGGCAAAGAAAGACAACAGGTGCTGTCAGAATAAGTCTAAGTTCCTCATGAAAGAGTGGATGTAACAGTGTCTGCTTTATTCCCAAGGCTACTTGCAAGGATGATGCTTTGCCTTCGACTTCTGATGTCTGTCGTAGACTAACAGTGTGTGACTGTAATGCTAATTAGCTTACTATGTGTTCTTGATGCAGTATGTATGCCTGCTATGTTCCAGGCCTCCCACAGTCACCAGGAATAAATAATGCCACCTCTTTACCTTCAGCCCACAACCAGCCAGAATTCTAAAACTGAGACATACAACAGGTGGTGTTTGAGGAGTTCTCTGAAGATAGATGGTCTAGAAATGCAAATTATTTACAGAGTGACTTACTATTGGATAAAAGAGAACTTTTATTCCTTTGTCACTGGGCAGAGTCCTGTGAAAGTCACCTGTCCCTTGTGGGTCTCACTTCTTGCCGATGAAAGTTGTCACTTGTGGAAGAAGAAAAACATATTGCCATCCTCTTTCTGTTGCTGTTTCCTTTTCTGTCTGCAGACAGATTCCTCCAAGGGCTAGTGGAAACAAGACAGTGGTGACAAATGTATGGATTTTTCTAGAAGTAACTAAGCAGAGACTGTGTACACGCTGCTCCTTAGGCCTGAAATGCTCTGTACCCATATTGGCATGGACTGGTTGCACTGAGGACTCTGCTAAAATGTCACCTCCCTAGACTTCCATCCTAGCTGAAGTCCCCTCAGTGTAATTACCCTCTGTCATAGCTCCTTGTTTTTCTTAATAGTATTTATGATTCTGAAATTATAAAGTCTGTCTCCCTCATTAATATGTAAATTCTGAGAGATTTGGAAGTATGGAGGCTCACCATCTTCCATAGCACCTAGCACATAGTAGGCACTAGTAAATGATAGATGGATGGATGGGCTTAAAATTGCCTCTAGAATTATGGCTTTGTAGCCAAAAAGGAATCTGCTATGTTAATTAGAAAAGAAATCTATCAACAATCACAATATTAAGCTGCCCACTAGCTACAGGGTTTATCAGCATACTGTATAATTTGATGCTTGAAATCAGAAAGATTAAAAAGGAACAGGAGGCTGCTGAGTCAACAAAGTCAGCAAAGGCGAGTTTGTTCTGTGGTGTTAGCTGTCCTGGAGGGTCAAGGGAGAACCCCTGGCCTTGCTATCAGCAGAATTTTAGATGAGGCTGCACTGTTGCAATTGATTATAGTCACCTAGTTTCCATATGAAAGGACACTTATAATTCAGCCAAATGGTTACAGCATTTGGGGGGTGGAGGATCATTATTCCCCTCTTTCTACAGCCCCTAAAGGCTAGGAAACAAATACCATCAATTCAGAGAATCGTGAGGCAGATCCAGACCCTTCATTGGTTGCCTGTAGTTTTGGATCAGTGGAGAATTCCATCTGTCAGGGCATTTGCTGCATCATAACAGTTGTTGAATTTTCTTCAGGCAACAGATGAAGAACTCTGTCTACCGAAGCCGACAGTCTCTGAACAGCCCGAGTCCAGGAGAAACTGAGATGGACCTTCTGGTCACTCGGGAGCGACCCCGGCGTGGAATCCGTAACAGCGGATATGACGTGAGTCTCTGGTGGGCTAGGGTACACACAGCTTTGCTTTCCCCTGAGAGCAAAGGAGCTGGAGCATTCCATAGTGTTTCCATTTACTACCTGCTTGTGGAATTTTAAAATGCATTACAGTGTTTTCTATTTTCTATTACCTCTTTTGCAAAGAGAGACTACTTAGAATGCATCAGAGGAACAAATTATTGCTAACAAGATCATGATTTCAAAATTGTACTGTTGCAAATTGTACATTACTGACCTTAAACTCAATGGACATTCTAAGCATCCTTAATTTCCCCCTACCTCTACCCCCGTCTTTAGAAATGCAGTAGGAATCATGAAAATGAATTAGAATTCATTTGAACATGACTTCTTTTAATCCATAGCAATGTTGGAAATTTGGACTTGTTCCTGATTTCATAACTCCTCAATATGCCGTGGAAACAATAAGATGTGCATCAGAGTGAGGTGATGATGTCGTATGACAGAGCCCACTCTTCTGTTCAGTAATGTGTGCAAACTGCACAAATTCCGATTCCAGGCTTCCCCGGATGAGACGTTGTAATCGGGTGCCTCCTATCCAGGTGTATGCATCCTGGACTTGGAGTTGCCTTTCAAGGTTCTTATGAAAAAATTTCTTTGCCACTTCCCTAAAAATTTTCTCTAATTGCAAATTAAACTTTTTCTGCAATAAGTGTTATAATTCAAATATCTCTGGAGAAATTTTTATAATTTGAGAAGCCATAGTTTGAAAATGACACTTAATTACATAAGCATATCATGCTAATTTGAAGGCAAGAATATTTTCCCCCTTTGGGATTGGGCATTGTTTACCACAGAAGCTTTAAATGGGCTTTTTTAAATAGTCCAATTACCAACAGGGATGTTCTACCTAATTTGCATTTCTAATGATCTTCCTTACATTGAAATGATGTTTGTGTTGATAGTGAAACTCTTATCTGTTTCTTTTTCCTTTTGCATAAAAGTTTGATAATTTAGTTTTATAAAATTCCAGGCACTGAGCACATCTCTTTTTCTGTTAGGTTGAATTATATTAGGAGATGATTTTCTCCTCTTAAGAAATATTTCTTGTACCAAATTCACTCATTGATATGATCATCAATAGCAATTAAAAATCAGCATAAGTTTTAAGTTTCTAATCATCCCCCTCTCACACACATCAAGAGCTAACATTCTTCCTGTATGCATGCTTAGCTTGGGGAATTTTTTTCTTCTGCTCAGACACCAAGGATATAAAGGATTATAGTTTATCTCAAGATTAGTGTTAATGGTTTTCTTGTGAGAGTCTATGCACAGACACTTTTAGAGTTATGAGGATCTGGACCAGAAGTTTACCTAAAATTGGAAAAAGTGAACACTGTACATTTTCTTAGCCATATTGTGACACAATTTACATTGCTCACCTAACACCTTTGGAAGGTCATATTAGAAGATTACCTAGAACAATAAGAGAGAGAGAGAATTTTTTAAAGGAGATTACTCACCCCTATAGACATGTATAACTGTTACAAGCAAAGATTACTATAGGGAGGCCATCTTCATTCTAATAGATTTTTTTAAAAACCATACATTTCTTTGAGAAGTGCGTGTGATCTCAAAAACATACATTTAAGCTTCCTTCCTTATGAGAAAGTGATCACCCAGGGAACACTTTGAAGAATTTGGACTATGGACATTGGTTGCCTATGTCTCCTCTTGTGTTTTGTATGCTAAACATAGGAAAAGTAGCCAACCTTAACTAACTACATGCTATAGACCAAGGCCTATTCTTGTCTTTTTATGTGTATTATCTAATTGAAGTTGCATGGTTTTCCTGTTCGGTAGATGCTTTTATTATACCCATTGCATGGATGAGGAAACCAAGGTTCAGAGTAATTGCAGAATTTGTCTAGCCCCAAGCTCAACCTTTTAATCACCATGCAGTATGGCTTCTAAGTACATCCTTCCTCACTGTATGTCTGTCTTTGCATACCATGATCTATGTCATATAATTCTGAACCTTAGAAGAGGCTAGATATCAGATCATAGAAGAATTCTTACATGAGTAACATACACCAGCAAAAAATAGACCAGCAAATAAAGTAGAAAAGAAGCAAGTCATAGCTTTAAACAATGCATTCATTTTCTGAACTCTTGATTTTCCAAAAATGTCAAGGCACTCCTGGCAAAAGAATCCATTAGCCCAGCAGTGAACCTGTCATTTTGTTGGAAATGTGTCATTCTCCCTACTGGGTCTAGAGAGCTAAAAGTAGGCCACAATATCCAGTGTTTTCTGCCAGGTTAGGAAGCTTGACATAGTAGAAACAAAAGCACAGAGATTGATTTAATTTTGGATTTATCAAAAGTTGACTAGGGTCTCAAAGGAAAAGCCTGCATATAAAAATAAATGAATAAATATATAAATAAGCAAACAAACTATGCTGCACAGGTTGCATGGCAGCCTGGCTTGTTTCAAAATTTTCCCATACAGCAAGAAGCATTCAGGCCTGCAGAAGACTCTGTTCCAGGGGACTTGATGTCTCTGTTTTCAGCAACAATTCTCAGTCACTTGGTCACTCTATCAGCCAGTACAGACCGCAGGTAACTATGGCCCAGGTGGTAGTAATTTTCTAAGACTACACACCCCTATTAAAAGAATGCATTATTTTCAAAAGATGATCCAAACTGATGAAGGCCAGGCTATATCATTAGATTAACTTTACCATTGAAATGAATTGCTCTTATGCAGGGAGCAGGTAGAAAAGAAATGTCAGCCTAATGTGTAAAAGCAAAAGTATCTCTATTAAGAGTTTTTAAAATGTTATTTTTCTGAATGAAAGTCATGTAGAAAATAATGAAGCAGTGGATGAAAGAAAAGAAAATGCCTAAACTATGACTTTTAGGCTGAAAAAAGACCCAAGTGATTTTTCCCTTATCAGGCAAATTATTCACCCCATTATATGCATGATGAAGCAGCCTTGCTGCAAAAGGACCAGAAATAATGAACTCTTATTCTGCAGAAATAAATGGATATGTTTCCTGGACTTTGCATTTGTTTACTTTTGTGGTGGGTCTGGGGATGGAACCTAAGACCTCATACGTGCTAGGCAAGTGCTCTACCTCTGAGCTACATTCCCAGCTCTGATCTATTTTTTTTTTTTTGAGTTTAAAAATCAATGGCAGGAATAGAGTCAGCTATGTGCCTTGACTATGGAGGAGTCTCTGACACAGATTGAATTATAACTTTGAAAATTGCTATTGACTTCCAGAAGTAGAGACCTTTGTAAGTTACTTCACTTAAGCTTCTCTCCAGCACAAAGAGAGAAGTTCCACACAAAAGAGGTATGGACTTACCAGGGTTTCACTTAGGATTTTTTGACTTTCTGATGGTACAAAAGTGATATGTATTTAGTAGAATCTGTACTACAGATTTTGAATTTTGACCTTTCCTGGACTGGTGACATGCAGCATGATCCTTTCTTGGGATGCCAGGCATTTGAGCAAGTCATACCTCTCAGGCGCAGCAGTAAAGAACCCATACTGTATAGTAAACTGTGTGGCCAAGCCTCTTTGGCTATGTTTTGTGATTTTACACCCCATCATGTCTACAAAATACCATCTGTGTGTACATGAGCTATTCAGCCCCTTATAATAAGATAGGCTTTGTGTTAGATGGTGTTGCCCAACTGCAGGCTAATGTAAGTTTCTGAGCATGCTTATGGTGGGATGGGCTGAGCTGTGATCTCTGGAAGTCAGGTGTGTTAAATATGTGTGTGAGTTGGGACATTATTAGCTTACAACAAGTTTATTGAGACACAAACCCATCATAACTCAAAGGGCATCTGTACTTGGTGAGCATTGCTATCAGACCAACAGATTCAAACTGTAAGAAATGAGCAGTGGGTTTGAAAATGTTCAGAAGGATGGTTTATCCCCAGATGCTTCTCGGAAGAGGCAATGTCAGTCATGATTCATGCTTCAGGAAAATGTTTTGAAATGTCATAGAAACCCAGGTGACTTTACAACTGAAAAGTATATGAAAGGGGTAGCAGGCAGGGTCCAGTTGCGGAAAACAGAAGGCCCCAAACTATTTTAAACAGACTAAAATTGACTAGGAGAAACCAGGTGCTCACAAAGTCCTCAGAGAGCTGGAGGAGAGTCCAGGAAAGACTTCTTGGACAATGCTGTAGGGCTGGCCCTCAGGAAGGGCTGCTGCCTCTGCCCCACGCAGGAAACTGTGGGGCATAACCAAGGAACAGGAGAGCATTGCACAGTCCAGCTCCCAGCAGCAGCTGCCAAGACAGCAGAAAAATGGGGCCTGCCACATTTCCTCTGTCCAAACTACAGACTGGCACATCAAATTGACAGAATAAGTGTCTCCACAGAAGGCTGGGAAATGTATGTTAGCCACTCATGCGTGTTATGAAGAGGTTGCCATGTGCCTGTCCACCATCTCTACCACAGGTACCCAGTAAAAACTAGATGAGAGCAGAATTAACAGGCAGAGCAGAATACTTGAGAAACAGTTGGGGCAAGAAGTGAAGAAAAGCAGAGCAAAGGGGAAAATGACCCACGAGCCAGAACTTGGTCCTGAGTAGCCTACTGAATTGAAGACTGGGTGCACTGCCTTGTGCACTGGGGGAGTCCCATGCTGCTGGCTGTTCACCAACATAGCAGCCAGATCCCTTTGTTAAAGGTGAGCCGTGGTGATTGGAATGAGGCAGAGGAATGGGAACAGTTGTTTTGATGGGTTCTACTTGCAGGGGAATGAAATATGATCTGGAAGGCCCCCAACTGCCTGCAATAGCTTATAGCAAGTCTGGGGTCTTCTGGGTAAATCTATAATCCTTTTATGAGTGCACATTTTTCCAGCCCACGTACTTCCCACCCCGGACCCAGCATCTTACAGCTCTGCCATGACATTCAGAGACAAGACAGATTGTACAAATGGCCTGCACTATTGTGGAATACTTACTTTTACTGGGAAGCAAATGGTTTGATTTGGGATTTTGTCC